ACGATATTTTCTACGTAGGGTTAACACCCATAGCCGTCTAAACGTTTGCATAAAGCAGCCACAAATATGAGCATCTTCCTGAAATCGCGAGATGTATCATTCCAGAACATTCTTTAGTACTACGACTGTTTTGAAGGGCAAGAAAGAAGAGGAAAGATGTCACCGTCGGAATGTCGGTCTATTTTCATTTTCACGATCTGCCTTTTTTCATTAAGTTGACGGTGCGGTGCTTATCTTTCGCTTTTATGTCATCAGCCAAAAGTGCCTTATTTTTTAAGGCAGTCTGTAGCCATATGGTAAGCACGGCGTGTAGTCTCCTGCTTTCTTCTTACAGACTGGTACTCATTTGTCAACCTAGGAAGGAAAAAGGGTGAGAGGACTGACCCTGACCAGGGCTTGAACTCAGGATCTATTGGTTCTGAGTTTGACGGTATACCGACTGAGCAACCCCGGTCTGAAGCAACGTGTGACAAGCTCCTTACTCAAGAGAATTCCTCAATAAGACAAAGACTGACCTCGAGCAGAATCGAACCCGGCACCTGCAGAGTTCGAGGCAGACCTCTTAGACACTGTGCTAACACGTCACGTGGTTGTTTTGACAAGTAATGTGGCAACAAAAGCCTATGACTATACACTAAACAATCACAGCATATTCTCGCAACATACGTAGGAATTAATAAACTGTTTTTTACAACTGTAAGAATGTTGATTTTTCACCCTGCATCTGCATTTCCAGATGCCTTGAATTGTCGCGATAAACGCTGTTGGGACTGACGTACCACTGAGGGTTCGGTTCGCATTTTGCTCTCACGGGTCAAACCTTGACAATCGGTGCGCATTGAAACCTGTCACTCTCGATCACCCCTGTACCTCACTACTACAATGACATCAGCTCCAAGATTATGCGCCGGCGACTTTCCTCGTCGAAGGGCTGAACGAGATCGAAGATCTGGTTGGCAAGCGGCTGCTAAGAGGACATAATCGGCAGAAATGAAAACTCCACGTGCTCTCCTGCAACTGTGGCTCATTCCTCCCAAAATGAGATCAACTCTTCGCCTTGCTGAGCCTGCCAGTACATTGTAATCCATGCGCATCGATTATCCAAGAACCATAGCTTTTCTTGTCTGCTGACAACAGGACTGTAACTATTGATAATTATGACTGCTTTTGGCTGGACAGACCATTGACAAAGAAGGTACCTGGCGGCTATGTCATAACTTGGGTAAACACATCATGGACAGCAAATTCGTCGCTATGGTTTTCTTTATCGACAGAAGATTTGTAGGCCCTATTTCGAAACGACGTATACGATATCTACCAGTATGTTGCAGTGACAAAGTAGGCAATATATCTGCATCTCACCCAATTGCATCAAAGCAGCAATGGACATATTCACGGAGCAGCTGCTTACTAAGGTGTCCCCTGTGATAAATAATCTGTTTACACTAATGAAGACTGTGAACCAGCATGATCCAAATGCTCTGACTGACCTCGGCCTCAAGAATGTGGTCCATTTCGCCAGTCGCTTGATGGCTAAGCTGGACTGTGCAATGGTGAATGTGCAACATGTTTCGGCATTCGGCGTTCAGCGCCTCTGGGGTCATCCGACCAGTGTTCCATCAAATTAATACCAAGGTATGCCAAACTTGGACCTACGTCATCGTATAAATTAAAACCGCGATATCACCAAGCAGCTACAGCCGTGCGCAGAAAATATTGACGTTTCTTGGTTTCCTGGAACAGACGAACTGGGCTGTTTTCCGAGACAGATTTAAGTAAGTATATGGATGCTGCCACGGCATATATAACGTATGGATTCGAGACTCGTATTACATCCGAGAAGATCCATCTGTAAAACGCTCATTACAGCTCTGAAACAGTAGGAACTCTGCTAAGAGCGAATAAAGCCTACGGTGCCGGCGGCACACCTGAAGAGAAAAGGTTGCAGAAAGAAACCACTTACCAAATTCAGCGTTTGAACAGGAAATTTTCTGCATCGTGTTGAACTTACGAACAAACCAAGAGAAACGGAAGTCCATCGACCAAATATGCAATCGTTCGATAAATCGCACATCAAGGAGTTTCGATCCAAATGACGTGACAGCTTCTTCCTGCGTTTTAAAAGGGAGCTGAAGCCAGAAATATGACCCAAAATATAGCAGCAGGTGCTTCGAAAGAAATCACCTCATTAGATCACCAAGTCTGGAAATGCTTCCAAAAAACCAAATCCACTACAGCTGTTGGTCCAGGCAACCTTGCGCCTATTGCATTGAAGCTAGGGGCCTACGTGTTGTCGAGACCGTTTACTGAGATTCATAATTGCTGTATTGACCATGGCTTTCTTTCAAGCTCATGGTAAACTGTTGAAGTCACTCCAGTGCCGAAATACACGACTCCTAGCCAGATGAAGGACTGGAGGTCAACCTTGGTGCCGTCAGCTGAATTCAAATGTATGGAGCGTCTGCTAATGTGTCGGATGAAAGACTGTAGATAAGCATATCGACCCCTACCAATTCGCTTTCAGAAACAATCGCTGTACAACTGACGCAATAGCGACACTCGTAAATTACGTTTCATGGAGTACTGAGGCAGCTGCAGATTCACATTGGCGGATTTCCTCGACTACAGTTCAGCTTTCAATACGATCCCTTGCGGCAATCTGATAAACTCCCTGGCATCAAAAGACGTGCATCCT